TTGATTGCAGTATCTTGTAGCCCAATAAATACAAATTCAACTCATATACATATTGTCCATAATTAATATCTAGTTCATATTTATTTTAGATGTACCAATCGTTATTGATTATTCTGATCAGTCGTTAAACACATTTTTGTGTTCAAAGTTTTGTTACTATAGTTTGTTTTTGGGGACAAAATTAGAGGAAAAGTTTGATGTTTGCATAAAAACGAACCAAACTTTTCACAATTAAAATGAAATGCATTGAAATTGTTTGGCATATCATATGATGGCAGCAAACAAATGGGATTGTAATGAGAGCTCAAATAACAACAGAAAAACAGTGGAAATTAAAGTCAAATTGAGTTACAATTTGTTAAAAACAATAAATATTATGCGCTTTTAATTGCGGCCAACAATACATATGAAATCGCTTTGAATGACAATTCATAGCACTGTTTACCCAAACGTCAAACTCTATGCGATTGTTGTATTGGTTGCAGTGTTTGGTAGCCTTTCATTGCCGCCCACTTCGCAGCGCACGGCATAAGGCATGCCCTCAACCGCTCCCCCCATACCATGGCTTAAGGCATACACTACTGGACCCCCCGTTAGGTGTGAGCCCTCGACACCAGCTGTTGTCAAACTCCATGAGAGAGACAAACAATTGTAACACTAAATACTGTTAACTCATTATATCTTATGATTGAGTCGATTGTAATACTGTTGTAATGATTCATACATTCAATGATTATAACGCCAATAGTTATAACATCTCTGCCTTCGGTTGCGTTCAATACGATTACAATTAACACATTATAAACACAATAACAACACTTCCCATACGTATTGCAGTGTTTCGTCTCTAAACACGTCTCAATCGGCCACACAATCAGTGTTTTAATTGTTTGTTTTTGTATTGATTTTGTTGTGGTATTAATCCATACATTCATTGATCCACACATTCAACCATTTGTACGCCAAATGCGTTGAAACAAGTGTTTTATGAATGCGTTTACAAATTAGTATTGAATTTATTGTTTGGTTTTAAATCAGTTTTTTGTGTGTATTTATCGGCCATTTAGTCGTCAATAAGTTTCAGTTATTTTAGTCATTAATAAAATACAATGCATTTTGTGATGAAATCATTGGTTTTGTTGTATTTATTGATCAATTTGTTTGGTCTGCGGTTAACGTTAGCCACCGATAGTCTGGCCGTCGATCTCTGTGGCGTCTCTAATGGCATGGATTTCTCCGCTTTCAAGACGTAAACTATTTTTGATGTTTTAATAAATAAATGATAATTCATTTGTAATAATGATATGATTTGTTGTTTGGCATTGAATTTACAGATTGTCGTATAATTGGACGCTTACTAACAGCAAAAACGAGTCAATCGATTATTACATAAACCTCTGCAGTCTATTGAACACAACCAGTGATAACACAATTCCTGTCAATTGCAGTAATAGCCATATTTGTAAACACTTCCGAAACGGTGACAAATCGGCTGTCGGTATGTTTTTTTTTAGTGTCCCATTGCCTTAAATATAGCAATGTTTTGACATTGAATTGAATTGTTATCGTTTAATACTAAACATTATATTTGGTGTGAATTGAATAGGATTTGGGTTAACTCGCGTCGATCTGAAGCCTGTGGATAACGACACTCACAAACAAGTTTGGGCTCAGTTTGACG